GCATGCATAATGAGGCTCACCTTTGCCAGTTTCTCTCCCTCTTCTCGTTTCACCGCCTTGTCATGTGAGTCAGCCTATAACGTTTTGGACACACAATATCGAATTAGAAACAGTCGCTTACATCCCAAGCCCTGTTACACAGTGTCTGGAGAAGAAGGTTATTTTGACATCCATGTTTGACACATGCAGAATTTCCTGTTTTACAGCATACATTTCAATGCCTGCTTGTTACTTTTATGTATTACTTGTATTATTTTAAGGACTATGGTTAAGAGGAGGAGAATAAGATATTTTCCAATGTCAAAAATAAAAATCAGGAGACTAAACTTGAAAAGAAAGGAGCTCCATATAAAGCTAATAATATAAAGTCGGCATTGCCTTGCAAAGCCTGCTATTGCTAACGTGCTAGCAAATAGCAGACCCTTTTCTTTTCTTTTAGTTGTTGTTAGCATTTTGAGTTGTAAACCAAAACTACCAAAAATGAGCTTATGCATAAAACTTAAACGGTGGCCTATTTACACAGACTCCTGTCTGTGGTGCATGTAGGCACTTATACAGCATGTCTTTCATGCTTGGTACATGCGGTAAATGTCACAATGTATGTGTAGCCTACACTTATCATAGCTTCTAAGCACATCCATACACAGCAGCTCTCTCTATGAGTCTGTCTGTCCATCTTCAAGTATTGGGAGCAAGGCCTCACCTTGTTGCCCAGCAGCATGACAACCACGTCCTGCTGAGCGTACTCGTGGATCTCTGTCAACCATGCCTGGAGAAAGTAAAAGAGCACAGAGTGGTGAAGAAATGCAAATCAGGAAAGTAAAAAAGGGAAATGGAGACAGTGCGTGAAGAGATAAGCACAAGAGGGATTGGAGATAAGAGCGGCGACAGAAGAGATGGATGGATTCACAGAGATGGAGCGTGGGAGAAAGACAAAAGATTAATTTATTGTTCCCTGGCTGCAAAGGTCATCTGGTCCTCCACCTTCTCCCAACAGAGCTTCACCTCTTCACCCCTATTCAATTCTATTCATCCATCTTCTTCCAATTACAGGCCAGTTGCGACTTGGCCCTGTTACCGCTTGGTTAAAAAACAGCGTCTTTGATAGTTTGATGTCTACACACATACACATAGATGCACCCACACACGCAACCTTCCTCAGGTATCTCATTTTTGTGTGTTTGCATCCTATTGTCAAACAACTTTTAAGCAAACTTTTTAAATGCCCAATAAGCATCAAAGTCCCTGAACAGTTAAGGCTGTGAAGTAACAAAAAGAGCCCACATGGATGCTGCTCAAGACAATGGAGAGAGAACTGCAGTTCATTGACAGGCATGTTTTACGCCCATGCAAAAATGAACAAAGTAACACAAAATCTGTTTGCTGAGCCACAGGCTGCCTTAGGCAAACCTGTCTCCTGGAGATTAGGTTTATATACAACTAATGTGTTACATTTTCTATTACCAAAATGAGGAAACATTGTTAATTAATGTGTTTGGCAGAACATATTAGTAAAATGTTGACCCACAATATATTTGTTTTCTGTGAAAATGTCCGCAACATAATATCCACTACAACATAATTAAATTGTTTTATGTTATGTTTAGACACTCACTGCACTTGGTTACGACTGGAGAAAGATCATGGTCTGGTTTAGTACAGATAAAGGTCAAAGTAAAAGAAACTACAGATACAATCTGTTTATTTACAGGTACAGTAAACCAAAAGGCAACCTTTCCCTAAAAGTCTTCTTATTGCCTAAAGCTAACCACGGATAGGAGTCACAGTGAATGAGTCACAGTGTTTGCTGTATCTGTCCACCTTCCACCATGTGTTAATTAATTAATGCAGGCTACAGTAATTTACATTACAGTCGGGCAGCCCAACTTTGATGAAAACTGCACAAATAATTATGGAAATTATGTCAGTTATGATAATTATTGCCCATTAACATTCTTTGAGCAATGTGCTTTTATGTATGTGATTAAATATAATGTAAAATAAAATCATTAGACATACATAATCCAGAAAAGTTGTCATTTTTGGCAAAACAATTCTAAGATACTAAATAATGAGCCACAAATTATCCGAGGATTTGCTTAGTTTTCTCAGGATATTGTGAAAGATGAGTAGATATTCAAAGATTCTGCTACTAAGCCTGGATGAGAACTAAAAAAGAAGAGGGAGACAGGTGTAATGAAATGAAAAGCTTATGCAACAGTGAAGTCAGCATTTAAGAGCAGTTCAAGGTTGTGGTGATAGCAGTGATAAAATAATGTGGATGCTGTGTTTACACTAGTTTTAAACACAGAGTCAAGCTGTCAATGTCAATTAAATAATAATAGAATGCATTCAAGCTATAAATCAGCAATGCTTGTGGAACATTAATATTACTGTGCAAATAACCATTTGTTCTTAAAATTCTTTCAGGTTTCTTCTTTTCTCTTATTTATTCTTGCCTTCTTTAGTCTTGTCTATGCAGAAAGTAATGTGGTGGGCTGCAGCTGAGTGTGATGTGACTGGGATGAGAGTCAGCACCTCCAAGTCTGAGGCCATGGTTTTCTGCCAGAAAATTGCTCGCTTCTAGTTGAGAGTGAGGTGCTTTCTCGGGGTCTTGTTCACAAGCGATGGTAAAATGGAGTGTGAGATTGTAGCATCAGCAGCAATGCAGTTGTTGTACCGGACTGTAGAGTGACAATGACATTGCAAATACAAAAGGTTGAAATAAGTTTCCTCTGTAGGGTGGATGGATTCGGCTTTAGAAATAGGGAGCACAGTTTTGACATCTGGAGGGAGCTAGGAGTAGCGCTGCTGCCTCTTTGTGTCAAACGGAGCCAGCTGAGCAGTTTGGGCACCTACTGGTTGCCTTCCATTGTAGGTTTTCTAGGCATATTCAGTTGGTAGGAGGCCCCCGGGTACATATATCACTACATATATCTCATCTGGCCTGGCAAGGCCTTGGGGTACGTCAGGAGTAGCTGGAGGGTGCCTGCACTACCTTGAACCTGAACCTGCTGCCACCATGACCCGACTCCAGCTAAGTGGTATAGAATGGATGGATGGGCGTCTCTTTAATTCCTTAGGGTAGGAACAACAAAGGACACAGATGAGTGTCTTTCATCTCTTTACTAGTAAAACTAAGGGGATCTTCTCTCTGTTTTCCTCAGGATATACAGGACATCTCTGCTGGGCCTTTCTGTGCTTAGCCATTGTGAGCAAATCTCCCATTATGTAATTCTCATCCTGTTAAGACACCTAAAATCTAAATGTGTTTTATACTATTGGACCTCATATTCTTTTCATTCCGCTCCAACAACAGCCACACTGTAGCCCTATCGGAACTGTGTAACTTTAATCGTCTTTACAGTAATTTGTAATAGAACAAACTGAACTGAGAGCTATCAGCATGAGTTTTAACAGTGATGTGGTACAGAAGACACAGCCCCTAACACAGTGGTGGTCAGCTGAGCAGAGGGCTGCATCACTTCAGTATCAATAGGCACATGCTGACCACTACTGGCGAGTGGGGAGCTTAAGCAAATACATTTTGTTGCTATCGTGTAAAACAGCGAGAGAAAGGTCAGGTCTCTCTCTCACACCCACATATACTGTACACTACCCCCACAGTTCCTCCTGCCTCCTTCCACCTCTCGCTTTGTATCATTACATGAATACACTCCGATCAGCGGTAATCCCTGCCCTCACCTGCAGGTTTACAGTATTCTTCTGCGCTCCCTCCTTGGGGGTTTACATCACTTTATTGCACAGAGATGAATGCACCTAGCAGCCCTGAATCTAGACAACATGAGACCCTGCCAATTACAGGGTCTCAACAGAGCCATGAAAGATCTCGGCAGCCTGTGGGTGGATTACGAGAAAGTGAGAGAAAGAACGTAGTTTGTGAGCTGATCAAACATCAAAAGGACTCACAGTTGAGGATTACAGTTCACACAGTTTTGTGGGGGAGTCATGTATGCGTTGGTCTACATGCGACAGCTTATGACATGCTGTTAGATTTACTGCTTTGGTACAGCTTTCAGTTGACACTTTGACTTAGTGTGTTACACTGATTACCATAGAATCATGTGATCAGTCTGCTCAAATGTTTATTTTTAGCTTTCAGGAAATATGCAAACAATTTCAAGATGTGTCAAGAGTGCATAACCAATTACTGGCAGGGTCACCATTAGGTCAGGGTCACTGCATTGCTACAGCTTTTTGAACTTTGTATGCAAATAAGCAAAACGTGTTGCTCATTAATACCAGTTTATTTCATATACTAAATGCTCCTGGAGTCAAAAGGTTGCCCCATCTTATTCCCCCTGCCTGTAATCCAGATGGGTAACAAATTAAAAAAAAAGAAAAATTAACAAAGGGAACACCATTTTGGTAAAGTGTCCCCAGAACAGCTTCACTGCTCCTCTGTTGGAGGGAGGAAACATATTGCATCAGTGTTCAACACACTTTTTCATGCTCATTAAAGAGCCCATTGCATGCTTTTCTGTGTTTTCTGACTTATCTACAATGTTACAACAGTGAATTGTCATCTTAAATGTGACCTAAAGCTCAAAAAAGGAGGTAAATGTATGTTCTAGTATTTCTATGCAGAAGAAACTCAGTTTATACAAGTCTTGAAAATTGTCGCTTGCAAGACTTTTTTAAAAGTATTACATGATAATTTAAAGGTTTCCTTGAATGGTCAAAATCTCCAGGCAGTTGCGTGTTCATGTGAGCTTGCTGACATCCACTGGTGCCGTTGTAAAAGTGGAATTTTTTAACTGAACATGGTTTTGTGGATATATTTTCCCTCCTGCTGCTGCACTGTGACCAGAGGATGTGGAGAAAAATACAGGGCTGAGGTTACTGCATGTCAGGGAATGTTCATGTACTTTGTTTAGAGTCATTTCATCGGTACATATACCATTGTTTACCTACCTATCTATGGAAGAGAAATTCCAATTAATTAATGTTGTTGTGCTGTCCACTTTCATATTCTGGCTTGAGCATGTCAGGTAGAATTTCAGGTATTGTCATTGCTGAGCACAGCTTATTTGTCAGTGTTTTTGTTCCCCCATCGAGATGTTTCCCCTGTTCAAAACTGGCTTTCATGCAGCAACCCCCTCAATGGTTGTGGTTAGGATAATACTAGGATTCAGGTTAGGGGAAAGACATTTTGATGGGGAAACAGATTTCATCCCAACACTGACAGCAGGAGGTGTGTATGTTCATGAACTGTCCTCTCGTTTTTAGGAAGTGTCTCTCTGTTTTTATTTTATTTCACTTAAACTAAAAAAGCTGTGGATTTCTACTAAAATAGTTGAATAGTAGTAGTGACAGTGGTCAGCTATGATCTGTTGGTTTAAATGTCTTTAAGCTGTCAGACTCATGAACAAATACAGAATGTACTTTCTCTCACTGTTCTTTATGCTATTATGAAAACAGCTGTTAGTCAAGGTTGACTAGTATGTGTGTGTGTGTGTGTGTGTGTGCACATCTGTGGAGGTGTGAAACGGGTGCCCTGTGGTTTTCTGGGTGTTAATTTGAGGAAGCTGTGGTCAGATCTGGGTGGGCTGCTGGGTGGAGAAACAGAGAAATTTAAGAAAGGGTTGAGCCAGAGATCAGACCAGATTGGACAAGAAGTGAGATCAACACATCACTGCAGGTAAACAAGTGTTTTACACTTTACATTTACATTCTGGACCCAAAGGTGTAAGTTTCTGGGTATATTAATTTGAAGATTTCAAGTACAACATTTTAAATTATGAAATGCCTTTGTAAAATATTATGTTTAGTTAAGTTAGCATGAGAAATACTGTTATTTTATTTGTATAATTTCAAGCAAAACTATGTTACTTTTGAGAAGAAAAATGAAAATATTCCTTTTACAAATTAAAAGCTGAATGAGTGTTTTAAAATAGTATGTGGTTATAGCCGGACTTGATCTTGTATGTTTAGCTTATAGGGATGTAGCTTATGTTTAACTTACTGTCGCTTAGCTAATGCCATCTAATGTTAGCAAACTTTAAACTGTTACACAGTTGTCTGAGGGAGACTACTGACTCCGATTGCTAACTTTATGACTCTTCTGTACTCGGGTTACTGTTAGAATAGCTTCACATTTAGCTAAAGTATAAACAGTGTTATTTGTGTAACTGTCTTTTCAAATTAAATGAGGTTTTCAAAATTCACTTGACCAATGAGTGTTGCATCTAGTTTTGTTGTGAAACAATCACTGATTGTGAAACTATGTGAGAAGCTGAAATGGGCGTCTCCTGTTCCTCTTCTAAAATTTTAACATCCCCTCCCTCCCTTCTTTCACCATATTTCTCTTCACAGAGTTATTTATGACCATTAGACCTGATAAACACTGAGAAACCACCCTGCAAGCAAGATGAAGAAAGGGCCAGCTGTTAATAATGGCACTGTTAGTCCAGGCTGTACTGATTGTAGCCCGATGAGTGGAAAGGCGTCTAAAGATGACCGCACAAGCCACAGGGTACAGAACAGAGACCGCAAGGAGAGACAAGGATCAGGACAAGTCAGAATGGACAGCCAGGAATCCAGACAGCGTCCCTTGTTAACAGTTACCACCCTTAATGCAACAACACGTTCTCACCAGCGACGGTGGTCAGCTGACCTTTGTAAGTGTGAGACCTCACCAGTCATTATTGTGAGGAAGAACAAGAAGGAACCACAGCCGCCGCAGCGTGGTGTATCCCTCCTCAGACCTCACACAGCATCCCATTCTTCAATCAAGCGTTACTCCTGCCCTCCCAGTGGGCTCTTTGCTTCACCAAGTCAGTCTTCATCTTCCTCCCCCTCCTCCTCCACCACCTCATCCTGCTCCTCTCCTCCCCCCGTGAAGACATCCGACATCACTGGCCACGACCCTCTAGGCTGGAAGCTGCGTCCCAAGCCCGTCTCTGCCGCCCCCCGTGCTTGCACTAACAGGTTATCTCTGCAGGTTCCCCTCCCTGTTGTCTTCCCTGACCCCAACTCTGGTCCTACATCTAACTCTCTGTCGGACAGCACTTCTAATCCGGACCCCTCACCTAAACCCAAACCATCCCGTCGCCGTTACTCCGACTCTTCAGCCTTCCCGAGATCTCTGGTGACCCGGATGCCTGCGGTGACACTTGAGGAACTCTGTGCTGTGCATCTCTGCTCGGTCACCCATTCTCATGAGCCTGATGATGTCTTCACCGTGAGGAACGAAGAGGAGGTGAAGGTGACCACTCGACCACGCAAAATACCACCACCTGTTCCAGATAAAACCGCCACGGCCAGACAAATAGCACAGCTGATTGCACGTTCACTCTCACACTATAGGCCTGTAACCACTAAAGAATCAAATATGTACAGCAATGTGATGAAGCCAAAACATTCACCTCACACTGTGCACCATGACAGCCTGGGCGCTACAAAAACTGGTAAGTACTCACAAAAATCTCCCAGTAAAATTACCTGCAAAGGAAGAATAATGTCAGATTAAAGGAAAAGGCCAGTCATCATCTACATTAATAGTCTTGTCAACAACAAACAATTGAAACTCCAATTGTAACACAGGCTTCTTACTTATGCCCCAATAACCCTCATGACATCATTAGGGGCACGTCCTTACACTTTATAAAGTTCCTCCAACTATTTTCAGAAACAGTTTTATTCTTAATGAATAAACCTAGGCTTCAGTGTCAAACTGTTGCTGTTCCCCATTACACAAACTAAAATTAATGTTGTTGTATATGAAGATGATGCACAACATTGTTTTTAAAGTCTGCAGAAGGTCCAATTAGAGACGCATGAGTGGCTTTCACCCTGATTAGCTTTTGATTGATTTCCTATAAGTGCTGAGAGGAGAGGAGTGGTTTTCAATGTCAGTCAATGGTAACAGCATTTACTGTGCTCCAGTAGGGCTGCGTCTAGATGCCAGCTGTGACAGGGAGAAGTCTACTCCACACTTACCTGGCAGAGAAATCTGAAGAGGACAGCCAAAGGTTCTTTCACCAACACCATGTACTACCACATTTTCCAAACAAATTGAACAAATTAAAGTAGATGCATGTATGTTTGAAACTCCACCTCCCACACCCTAGCAAAAGAGTTTTTAGTTTTATTAGGCACTGTGTTCTCTTTCTACTGCCACATCTGACTTATTTCCCTCTGCTGTGAAAATGTGACTGTTCTTCCTGTCAGTTACAAGCTAGTGTAACTGTAAGAGGACATCGAGTTTCATGTGTAGGAAGAAACACACCCTGTTGATGTTGCAACTTATGCCGGTTGCTAATAATTAATCCCTAAATTATAGTTGTATATTTGCCTGCATGGTGCATGAAAAACTGCCTTGTGTTTTGTTGACAGTATGTTACTTATGACATGACATTCTTTGTTGTATAAATATGAACTTGTATAAAGATGATCGCAATAAATCAATCACCTACCTTTACGTTTATTGAATTTTTTAAGCTAGGGAGCCCTGTTGAATATAATCCAACTCCTTTTGGTCAAATAAAAACAAAAACAGTTTTTGGTGACCACTAAAGACAGTATACAACTGATTTTACAGACCGAGCAGTATTCCTTCCATTCCAACCACTAGCTACACTTGCTTATCCTTGAGGATTGCAGTGGGGCTGGGACCTAGTCAATTCACACTGGACAAGAGGTGGGGGTATACCCTGAATGAGTCACCAGCTACCCAGTCACTCTCACATTCACAAATTCAGGCACGTTTTGGGACTGTAGGAGGAAACCCACGCAGGCATGGGGACAAATTGTAAACTCCACACAGAGAAGCTGCAGCTGTCTTCTCTATGTGTGACTAGTACACTCTGTGATGAATAAAGTAAGATGTGGAGGACCCCTTCAAGATTTTAGCAGTTGTTAAAAAAACTGTATCTGCGAACCACCATCTATCTCTATCACTTATATTTTTACAAAAATATTCTCTAGTATCTTAAACATGACAATGAATTCTTAATCTATCGATTATTATCAGGTAGTAGGAGACAACATACTCTAAACTTAAAGACCACTTAGCTTTTTAGTGTTTACTGCATCTTAAATAGGTTTTACAGCACAGACAAGAAAATCCCTAAGATATTATTGAGAAATTATGGAATACCTAATTAAACATTAAATTACCAACCAATGTCTCTTTTTTGGCCACGATTGATTTTTTCTGACAGTAATTCTCTTTTCTCTGTACACAGATAATACACCCTAATTCCACATTGCCTACTATCTACAGTATGCAGGTATTAACCTAATAAAATGTTATTTTTCACAGTGATATTTGGTAAGATTTTACCAGAACACAGTGCAAAGAAATCTTTCAGTGTACTGATGAAATGAAAGGTGAAAAGATGCAGACAGAGACAACTGGATGGAGTCACTTGTGTGAGTCTGGGTTTGGCCTGCTGAAATGAGCCGCTGGGTACCAGGCAGAGTGCCGAGAGATATGCAGTGTAGGCTGCAAGTAGTGTTGCAGGCAGGTGAGTCAAACACACACACACACGCACACACTCTCTCTCTCTCTCTCTCGCTCTCTATTTCACCATCTGAATGCAAATCTGAAGCTGCTGTATCTCATATTTCCTTGTTGGTTCACTTTTTACATTTGCTGATTTACAGATAATATAGAACAGTTATGCTTGCACGAATCCCGCTTGAAATTACAGTGAGTCATATTTTGCACACTTCATATAGTGGCTCTTTTGACCACCACAATACATTATTTAAAAAGACAGAAAAACATTAACAGTGGTCTTTATTTATATGTGTATTTATTTATGGGGTGTAAATGTGGCCCCAACTACAGTTGCCAGGATCTTCTGCAAATAAGTTGAGTGACTATGATGGACGATCCAGCATGAAATGAAGAACTGCTCTTCATTGTTTTCACTCAAGCCTGTGCTACACAGCAATATTCCAGATATGGCCATCCACCTGGACCGGCTAAATCGCTACTGAAGCAATTGGAAATTACTGCCATCCAGTAGGACTGGAGGCGGAGGCCTGTGTGTCTGTACCAACAAGGAATGCTGCTCAATACGATGGTTGTGTCCAGACACTCTCCTTTACTGGTGGAGTTTACGATTGTGAAGTACTGCCGTTGTTATTGTAGCCGTCTACCTGACCCTGAGATAGAGGCACTGTGGATTCTGTACAGTGACATCAGCGATCATCAAACAGCACACCAACAAATTTTTCTCCAACCTACATGTTCCATATGGTTGTTTGTCCCTTCTCTGTCATAAGACCCAAAGGGGCGTCTCATTACATAGCCCTTCTACAGTAGTGAGAGGAAGTGCAACAATTCTGCCAACATTAACGACAACATACGTCACACTACCAAGCTATACAGACTTCTGTCGTCATGGAAACAGCCATAAACACAATGGCGAGCTAGCAAGCTAGCTTAGAGCAGCTGGAACTCTGTCATTTTGGAAACTGTCATAAGGCACAGCAGGTTTATGTATAAATCACATTTTCATACACAAGGCAAATCGAAGTGCTTAACACAATACATACAAATAGATTAAACATTAAATTGCATACAAATTGCACACAGATGGATGAAACAACATTAGAATACTAATTAGATTAAAACAATACATGCAAATTAAAAGCAACAATTACATGAGAGTACAAAGTAGCAACATGTCCTATTTGTGTAGTAGTACTCTAACTGTGGCAGACTGTGGATTTTCATCGTTCTCATTATACTTCGTACCCCTTTACTACAGTCTTCTCAAGACTAACCTTTGAGTACTTTAGCAAAAGAGGAAGGCTAGATGTGGAAATGCATCAAAATGACTTTTAATCATGTTTTGTTTATAAAATTTGCCAGTATATTAAAGGCATTTTAACTGTTTTTAAAGATGAGTGCCTTGGCTGCTTTTTCACTTTATTAAGAAGCTACTCAGTGTGGTTTCAGCACAAAGGTTAAAAATAACTTGGTCACGTTTAGAAGCAAAACCATGTTGTTACGTTTTGGAACAAAAACTCTTGAAAAACACAAGTCACACACTGGAGTGAAACCCAGCTCTCCTGAAAGAAAGCCCTGTGTTACGCACTTTGTGCCTCTATATAATGTATCACGTTACTTACTCCTTTCGTCATATCACAGCGAAATGGCTGCTAGATGTTGTCAAACTATAAAATGTAACAGTTATAACCTGCTGTCACACATGATGTATACTGTTGTATTTTATGGGAGGAAAGTCTGGAAGTTGGGAAGTGGAACAGGCTGAGAAAAGGGTGGATGTTAAGCAGGGTTGATCAGTCCATGGAGAAAGAGCAGGTTTAGGACTAAGCATATAATAGAAATCTGACAGGAGAGACTAGAAGTTGACAAGGTCTTCTGTGACTTGGCTTTTTCCTCTGCACATGCTCAGCTGCTCTCAAGCTATATCTCTCAGGATGCAATGAGTCAGTAAGACAGCAATGACTTGGAGGTGAGTGGACAGAGGCAGTCCAAAGAAAAGAAAAGAGTCATAGCGGCAGACTCAGGAAGTAAGAGGGTGAATGAAGGATTGAGGGGAGGGCAGAGCAGACAGACCAGAAGAGAAATAGTCAATGAAGAGAAGAGAGCAGAGGTTCTGGCAGGGCAGATAGCGTTATTGTGGGTGAGGGTGGGTTATGAATGAGGACAAAAGGTAATGATCAGAAGTATGTAGCAGAGCAGTGGCAGGTGAAGACAGGATCCAGCTGGTTGGCTGCTTTGTGAATGGGGGGGCATACAGAGATGACCAAAGAAAGAAGAGATTCAGACTTCCGATAAGTTGTGAAATTCTCCAAGTATAAAGAGAGAGTGGCCGTCATCCAAACACAATGAGGTGAAGGACAGTCACAACTAATTTCACAGGATGTGTCAGGGTGACTGCATGACATTCAACAAAGTGACTAAGAACTGTGGCAAAGGGGAAAAAACAGCATTTCTAATTGTGGGGTATCAGGACTGTTATCTATGGCAGGGCAGCAGTGGTTTCTGGAGAAATCCATGTTTCAGTCATATTTAATGTTTTTTGTGGGTATTAGGCTCCATTTAGTCCATTGCAGCACCCAAATCTGCATAATGTGCAGCTGTTATACACCTCTCCACAGAATCCATTTACAGTATTCTGTCAAAATGACACATTTCCAGTGTGCTTTCTGCTTCAAGCAATGTTCAAATACATTTTATGACCTATGTACATGACCATGAATATGGATTTAAACTGACTAAATAAAAAAAAAATTCTCTCCTCAAAACATGAAAAATAATACATTTTGTTACATTTATTTTCTTTTATGCCTGCTGTCTCATAATTAAAGCAAGTATTTAACTTTTTGTCTCATTTTTCATTGTGACATGATTTTCACAAATAAAAACTTAGTTTAAATAGTCATTTAAACTGTCGTCTAACTTTTTTTTAAATTATGACAGTGAAAACATACAAAAAAATAAATATATAAAAATGTGTATAACAATATATTTCACTTTATTTCATTGATTTGTTTTTGTTTCAATCTTCCATACTGAGCTTTATGTATAGTGACTGAGGGCTATTGTAGTCATATAGTGAAATTTAAATACTAAACTGTACTTCAAGCAAGCTAGAGTTAACTTTCTGAACTCTTAGTGGACTTTAAACATCATGGCAGAAAAGTTCAAAACACTTTCAGTTCAGAGCCTCTATAACACTGAAAATCTATAAATTTCCACTACAGTAGGTAAGAGGAGAGGAGCTGTCAAAGACTTGGCCTCGCAGCAGTGCAGAGATATTCCTATCTAAAGTTTTGAAGTTAACCTCACTTTTCTAACCAATCAGAAAAAGACAAAGTCAGAGGTGGAGCTCATGGCTGTCAATCGGTATGTGAAAATGCTTCTGTTCTTCTACTCGCCACGCAGAACCCTGCGCTCCTCAGAACACCTGTCCCTGGTTGTTCCTCAGGCTAGGTACAAAAAATGGCCGTGTATGGCCCCAGGCTTTGGAACTCCCTACTGCCAGAGCTTCGGGCCGAAACTGAGCTGGCGGCTTTTAAGTCAACTGAAAACCCATCTTTTTAGACAGGCCTTTGGTATTTAGCTCGTTTGAAGCTCAAGTTTGGCCTTTGCCATTTTGGTAACACTTCGTTTCCCCTAACTCTGGCTCATCCAAAAATAGGCAAAGAGGTGGAGCATGAGTGGACCTACAGGCCCACTAGACAGCTAATGGCCAGCCATCTATGGCGGAATGCTCCCGCATAACAAACAAGGCAGTATAACATTTTGCCAATATGGTGGGGGCACCGGTGGATGTCAAGTAAGCTCACATGAACGCACAACAGCCTGGATTTCATGCCCATTCAAGGAAATCCTTAAACTATCACGTAATACTTTATTTTGTTAGAAAAACGTTTGCGAGCCGTGTATAAACTGAGTTGCTTCTGCATAGAAATAGTAGAACATATGTACACCTCATTTTTTGACCTTTAGGTCACATCTAAAATGATAATTCACCGTTGTAACATTGTAGATAAGTCAGAAAACAAGGAAAAGCATGTAAGGGGCCCTTTAATTCATATAAATATAAAAAACACAAAAGTGATTGGAAAATAGTGGGGCTGCACCACACATGCAAATATCAGTAGTGGTGTGTTTTCATAACCGAGTCTGTGTGTTAATGGGTATGTGTCTATGTAAATGTCACTGTGTGAGTGTTAAGTCAACATTCTGGGCAACAGCACATGCATGAGTGTCAATGTGTGTGTGTGTGGACTTCTTCCAGGTCCTTCACAACTACAGATGGAGCCATTATAGTTTCAGTCACATCCTGTGGAAAGGATGAATAACCAATTAGCATCCAGCTACCACAAGTCTTTCCCATCATCTGCT